AAGAAGCCAGATGACAATGATGAGTCACCTGAGCATTCTCCCAGAAATGAACCTGCATCTTCATCCAATTACAATCCGAACAATCCAGCTAACTTGCCGGTACAATATGAAAGTGAGGAAGAACTGATCCCACATGTTCCAACCTCATCCGGCACTGGAAGTTCAGAAAGAACCATGAGATATACTGACCAGGAAGATGGAGAATCAGAAGACTCTCAGAGGACCAGATCTTACGATGATCACCAAGCTGATCTCGTTCTTGATGAAGCACATTGGTCACTCATGACAGCCGAACAGAAGATCTGTGCGAACACCGGATCCTTTACGGTTCCGAGAGATATTGAAGGCAACCCTGTCCTTCTTGGACGTGTGAAAGGAACCTTCATCCCATCGCCCCGATGTGGATTCTCTCATCAGAATTACACAGATCAGAATCAGGTTGACCAGTTATGCAAGAACATGACCGACGATGACCGTGCACTCTTAGTCTTGTATTCATCCAAGCAAGAATCCTTGAAGGCTTCATCCACATCCGCACTCATTGGCAAGAAGCGGAAGGAAGCAACAGCCACTGAAATAAAGGCTTATCAGAAGCAATTCCTTGAAGCTAAGCAGCTCGAGTGCAAATCTTGGCTGGATAACGAAGTGTTCGACTTAGTCGACACACGCAAGATTCAGGTCAGGAACTGGGTCACTGGTCGCTGGGTCCTTACCCTAAAGCGAGACAAGGATGGTAACTTCCTGAAGACCAAGGCTCGCTGGGTCCTCGAGGCTTCCAAGAAAAGCAGAAGAACGATCAGCAGACAGACAGTCCTGCTGCATCCAGGAGTGGTTTCCGCCTTGCAATCCAAGCAGCCTCAAATAAGGGCTGGAATATATTTCACATGGATCTGAAGACAGCATTCCTCCAAGGCGAAGCATACGATCAGACTCGTGACATCATTTGTCAGATCCCTCCTGAAATGGGATATCCACCACACATCGGCCTACGGGCTAAATGACGCACCTCGCAGATGGTGGAACATCCTTGATTCGGCACTCCGTTCTTACGGACTGGCGCCACCCAGGGCAGACCGTTGTACATATGTATACTACGGCAAGCAGCTTCCGAAGCCCGCATTGGTGAGTGAAAAGAAGTCATCCAATACTTTCGATCTCGAAGGAGCAGTTGATTACCTTATGGATCCTGTTTCCGGTAACAATGCCAAGAATCGACAAGTTCATGGAGCACTATCTCTTCATGTTGATGATCTTCTTATGACGGGTGATGACGTGTTCGAGAAGGAAATCATGGGACGACTTCGCAAAGATTTTCAAGTTGGTTCCGAAGACAAAAATAATTGCCTCTTCGTAGGACAGCGCATCCAATGGAAGCGAGATGACAAGCATGGTTGGTACATCAATGTCCATCAGAATGTCGCCATTGACGAACTTCAGGAGATCACCTTTGACAAACACTTGAAGGACGACACTCCTCTTACTCCACAAATGCATACTGCATACAGAAGTGTCCTAGGTCAGATCAATTTGTTACAATCGCGAACGCAGTTCCACATTGGTTATCAATTCTCCAGGTGTGCATCCAAGGCATCATCACCGACCGTTGAGGACGTTCGCGCCATTAATAAGACAGTCAGAACCATCAAAAGCATTCCGCTTAGTATGAGATTCTGGCCCCTTCGTGGCAAGACACGCATAGTTGGTTATCCAGATGCATCCTATCGCAACAATGAGGATAAGTCATCCCAACGTGCGCATGTTATATTTCTTGCAGAACAAAGAGACCTTTGCCAGGGCTCATCGAACTCGAGAGGCTCATTGGTCGACTATGAGACGCACAAGATCACCGCCACAACCATGTCCACTACTGTTGCAGAATTGCACGGACTAATGCGTTGTTACGGTTCAGCATTATTTCTTCGCGGTCTCTGGTCAGACATAACAGGCGAAATCGCAGATGTACACATCCGCACTGATGCGAATAATCTTGTCACCACAGCATTCACAACACATCAACCGGAACAGAAAGAGACAATGCATTTGATCCAGATGTTGAGAGAGGAAAGCAACAGTGGACAGATGCATGACCTTGCACATGTACGGAGTGAAGACTGCCTGGCAGATTCGCTGACCAAGCATTCAGCTAAAGCAGACGAGCTCATCAAGGCCGTCCTCACCGGCAATCTCTTGAATGTTGATGCACATCCACCCTTCCGTACCATGTTGCAGAACAAGGCATTTTTGGTTGAGTGGCTAGCACACAATACGAAGCACGGACCCGCCTTTGCAGGAGTCGGTATAGCAGAATCCATGTTTGCTTACTGGGGAACCTCTCATGAATGTTGATGCACATCCACCCTTCCGTACCATGTTGCAGAACAAGGCATTTTTGGTTGAGTGGCTAGCACACAATACGAAGCACGGACCCGCCTTTGCAGGAGTCGGTATAGCAGAATCCATGTTTGCTTACTGGGGAACCTGGGCATGACCCGCATGTCCACGAATTCTGATGCATGAGTTTTTCATTTTGCACATTTTCAATTCCTCAAATCCGTGATGCGTGTTTTAGCACTTGACCCATTTTGAATCTCAAGAAATATGTGTCTGCATCCGCAGCCACTTTCGGTTAACAACCATTCCGACCTTTGCAATCTTGTATGCTCGATCACTTCGAAGACATGCCGATTCTCAACATGATCTTTGGACGATCCAGCACCACGGCTCCTTTGCCGAAGCCGCTGGTGAAGAGACGGGCATCTCCTCTGAAGGAATCCCCTGCATACATACATACATACATACATACATACATACATACATACATACATACATACATACATACATACATACATACATACATACATACATACATACATACATACATACATACATACATACATACATACATACATACATACATACATACATACATACATATACATACATACATACATACATACATACATACATACATACATACATACATACATACATACATACATACATAATCATACATACATACATACATACATACATACATACATACATACATACATACATACATACATACATACATACATACATACATACATACATACATACATACATACATACATACATACATACATGCAGACATACATACATACATACATACATACATACATACATACATACATACATACATACATACATACATTACATACATACATACATACATACATACATACATACATACATTACATACATTACATACATTACATACATTACATACATTACATACATTACATACATTACATACATACATACATACATACCTACACATACATACATACATACATACATACATACATACATACATACATACATACATACATACATACATACATACATTACATACATACATACATACATACATACATACATACATACATACATACATACATATACATACATACATACATACATACATACATACATTACATACATACATACATACATACATACATACATACATACATACATACATACATACATACATACATACATACATACATACATACATACATACATACATACATACATACATACATACATACATACATACATACATACATACATACATACATACATACATACATACATACATACATACATACATACATACATACATACATACATACATACATACATACATACATACATACATACATTACATTACATTACATTACATTACATTACATTACATTACATTACATTACATTACATTACATTACATTACATTACATTACATTACGTACATTACATTACATTACATTACATTACATTACATTACATTACATTACATTACATACATACATTACAATACATTACATTACATTACATTACATTACATACATTACATACATACATTACATACATACATACATACATACATACATAACATACATACATACATACATACATACATACATTACATACATACATACATACATACATTACATACATACATACATACATACATACATACATTACATACATATACAACATACATACATACATACATACATACATACATACATACATACATACATACATACATACATACATACATACATTACATTACATACATTACATACATACATACATACATACATACATACATACATACATACATACATACATACATACATACATACATACATACATACATACATACATTACATACATACATACATACATACATACATACATACATACATACATACATACATACATACATACATACATACATACATACATACATACATACATACATACATACATACATACATACATACATACATACATACATACATACATACATACATACATACATACATACATACATACATACATACATACATACATACATACATACATACATACATACATACATACATACATACATACATACATACATACATACATTACATACATACATACATACATACATTACATATATACATACATACATAAATTACATATATACATGCATACATACATACGAGAGAGGGAAATTGGGGAGAGAGAGGCTTGGGGGGATGGGGAGGATGGGGAGCAGAGGGAGGGAGAGAGGACGACAGAACACACAAGGGAGACAAGGGAGAGAGGAAGAAGGAGAAAAGGGAGAGGACAATGTCGGCGGACTGAGCCGGAGGCTGTAAAGTTGACACAGCATGGTGACGGCGTTTGATTACAACGGGATGAAGCGACTGTAAAACATACTTTGCTTATTTCATAAAAGGCAGCAATAAAGTTCTTCAACCTCTCACTGCACAGAAGCGCGTGGGGATGTCAGGAGCCAGCCGTCCGAGTTGGCCAAGCTTGTCTAGACCTACTTTTAATGGTCGAGGGACATTACTTTTATAGCCTTTCGTCTTTTAAATGGTCGAGGCTATTTAAAGAATAGTCGAGGAAGCACAGGGTATCCATAAAAAAAATACAAAAACCGCAGGGTTGCGCTCCTCGAGCTCCTGCCGCATCAGCGCGGAGTCGTAGCCCTCGGGGACGTTGCAGAACCGCAGCCGAACCTGCGGCGCGTTTCGTGGGCTCGAGCCCATCCGCCGGCAGTTCGGTGTGTCCGTGTTGTTTGGAGTTGGCACCTGCCTTTTGCCGGGATTCCAGTGGGAAACCAAGGCTAGGCCCTCCAGTAGAGAGGTTGGAATAAGGGTACCAACTTTTTCTCTGTAGTCTATTTTAGTAGGGGAACCGAGTCTCCCCCAGAAAAGGGGAGAGAAGGGCACCTAGCCGGGGGACCTAGCAAGGGAAGAACCGCATTTTTCTCGCCTTGGGGGGAGCCATCAACAAGTACGACACAGCCTCTGATGCCAGGGTCTGCCTCGTCCACATTCCTGGACTTCCGAAGCAAAGGGGGCTGTTGGAGATTGCTCTCTCGGCTCTTCAATGCCAAACAATTGGAGAGGAAACCTCGAACCCATTTGGGTGTGAATGTTAATGGTGGACACTTGGGGATTTATGTCCGCACCATTTTTGAGGGGTTCCGCTTTATATTCACATTGGATGGGTCAGACAAGTGCTAAACGTCTGTTTTGCTGTGGCTTCCCTTTAAACCGTCCGTAACCAAAGCCTTTGCTTAAGCCCCCTGGAGCAAAAGTCGAATTCCGATTGAAGCCAAGAAAGGGAAACAAACAATATATGTCAACGCCCACCAAAGCCTCCGTGTATTCAGTCGACTCCATGTCCTTCTGCCAAGCAGCAGCCTACTGTGTCCTTGCAGGACTCCTAGCTTGGAAAGGCTCCCCCTTCAAAGCCATATGTTGGGTGTCTTTTCTTACTGAACCCCCCTAAAATGAGGGGGTTCCCTGTAAAACGCTGCCAAAAAGGGGTCGCCCTCCAAAAAGAAGAAGACACCAACCCATTGGTCACGCCCTGAGTTTCCTGTCCTACCGACCCGACAACTCGTCCCGCCTCCTGTGGTCCCAGCTGCCTTCTGCGAAGCTGTTCGGAGGGCACCGACACCTTCCGGGCCTCGTCCCTGCGCAAGGGGCACGTGGTTTCAGGTCTCTCTCTTTTCCAAAGAAGACGCCCACCCCATCTTTCTCGGAATTCGAACCGGCGTTGCGGGTCAGAACAAAATGAGAGCGAATCCTTTCTGGTTACCCTCAGGTGGTGGTTTGTATTAATGGTTTGGATTTGCATTCGAACCCCTGGCATTGCAAGGAAAATGGAAAACCACCCCTCGCCACTCCAACCGCCGAACAACCAAACCAGCCGTTGGAACCACCTAAAAGAAAGTTGGTTCCCAGAAAGCAGAAAGATTAACCAAATCCCTGGCGCCAACATTTGAATGGACACATGGATTCTTCTGGCCTCGCTTCTGGCAAAGCACGGACCCCCCAAAACGCCGCCCCAGTTGGCCATTGGAGCCCGGCCGCCTGAGCAGCACAGCCCAGCGGCCGGCGGAGCAGGAAACAGCAACGCCTTCTTGCCCATTCAGCTCCACGGACTTCCTAAGCCGGGTGGGTGGAAGGCACTTGCCACTTTGAATGCCGCAAGCCTGGATTGGCTTTGCTTTATTTATAAGCAACTCTTAAATGCAATAAGTCTTGAGGAGTGTATAAAGAACAGGAAAAGGAGGGAAAGAAAGACCTGGAGCTGTGGGTCAAAGTTTGCGGAAAAGACGTTTCCTGCGTTGAAATCCAACCATGACTCATTTGCCTTGGCATCACAGCAGTAAAGCTGAACTTCCCATGGTCATGGGTCGTGGGATGGAAGCTGACGATGATTCCAACCTAACCGGTCCTTGGGCCCCAGAGTGGGTGGCATGGCATCTGGTCCCGCCTGTTGTCCACTTCCGCGAGCCAAGAGGCTCAACCAATTCTTGCGGGGCCCCTTGAGAGGTGCGATCAACCAAAAGTCGCTCGGCATCCACCTCCCAAAATCGGACGCACGTGAAGAGAACCTTCCAATTGGATTTCACGGGGTCCCATTTGGTTTCAAGAGGAAATGAGATTCAATCCGCGTCTGCGGAGCTAACATAAACTAAGTAGGGTGAAGGGGTCGTATTCAAGGGGCAACACAAGTAAATTCCTATCTGAGTCTGAAATTTTGGAAATCCGTAAAACAAACCGTAACAGTCGCTCATGAATCCCTTGTGGTCTCCTTTTCGATACACAAGAACAGCTAATATTGGTGTTGACGATGCTAGTGCGATTGGCTGAACATGATTGACTCCAAAACCCCAGTCAAACAGTTTAGCTGGTGATGCTGATGCTAAGGCAATGCTGCAGGGACCAAACCAAAAGAATAACAGTAATGGCCGAAAACTGTTCACATCCTCTGCTTAAAGATCTCGTTTTCGATCTAAGGGATCCCTACAATGCAGAGTTTGCTTACCGAGTCATCCCGAAACCCTGCGTTTTGTGATTGAAGAACTCCATCAAACTCGAGTTCAACACGAAATTACGATTGGGTCATTGGGTCGGCATGATTTTAGGAATCGGACCCCCAATCATCTCTCTGTCAATCAGCTCCCTTCACAGGGGTGTGGGAAATGGAATCCACGAATCTGTGATACAACCAAAAGGGCTTCCCAAAGACTCACCCCCATATAATGGGGGAGATTCCCTCGTATCACAGAAGTAGAGATAAACCCCTTGATCCCACAACCCTGAGCAAGAGCAACAGTCTTGATTTAAGTCCCGAGCTAAACGCAGCATGTTCACCTTTTCGGCTCCGAGAAGGGAGCGTTCCGCTGGACATACAAAAAAACAACCTCACAACTTGGTCGAGAGCCGAGCATTGGTCCCTAACACTGTGAATACTATTTCCCCAGCCGAATCTTTAAATCTTTTAGTCGGTTCCCCGTTTTTATTGGGGGGGAGGGGGGATGGATTAACCCATGACTTGATCCACCCAACAAGACTTTCTGATTCGGTTTCATGTTTATTCCAACATGTCCAAGCAAATTTAACCCCAGACCCCGTTCTCCAGTAACATGGGCACCCTTTGTTGGGAGTCGGCTTTCAAGGTCCTCACCAAAGTGACCCAACACAAGCTTTCAAGGGGCCCACGTAACAAAAGGTACTAGAGAGCCCCCCCCGGGTTACGAAAAGCTTATGTCATTGAGCCCTAGATTTCCTTCCTCTTCCTTAGGGAGCCTTAGGCGAACCCCCCCCCCCCCCCCAAAGACTACCCCTCCCCCCCTCCCCCCCGAATGGGATTTCCAGATCAGCTCGGCGTCTCCAATCCGTGGATCTCCACCACGCAGCCCACCGCGATCTCCGCGCGCCCCCGGCTGCGGCTGCGACTGGAGCTCGAGTCCCCGGACGCGGAGGACTCCGCGTCGGACATGGCGACGTCGGCTTGAGTCTTCAAGCCAGGTTAGTTACAACCCGGCTGGTTCTGACCGTGGTTACGACTGTAGGTCTGAAATGGCAACCACGGTTACAAGGAGAACCAAGCTCAGTTCCCCCTTTTACCGTGCAACTAGGGGACTGAGATTCTCCAGAGAACCACCCCATCAAACAGACCAAATCAGATATGTCCATTGCCGACACGTTGGGATGAAGTAGTGCAATGGGCTGGGCAATAAGCATACTGTGTTTGACTCTGCTCCCAGCAACTGCTGAAGCCGTAATGTAGCAGTGTGAGATCAGTGTCTCTTTTTCAAGGAGTCTTCATCTGCTTAAGCGCTGCGGCATATTTTACCAAGTGGATCCCAGATACCAACATAGCAGAGCTACTTTCCTTTTGGGTTTTAGAAAGGTGGCCGGCCTGGGTTTCGGATTTTATAATAAAGACATAGCCATGGCAATGGGTCAAAATCCAAATCGTACCCCCAGTGAACATCCCAATCCCCACTGAAATAGACTGCAATGGGTGGTGCACCTACCCCAAAATGGGATCCCATTGGTTTTGACCCACCGCCACATGGCTCCACGCAGCTTTTCGGTCTGCCTGCTTCGCCGCGCTTCCTCCCAAACATGCATGGAAGCGCTGGACCAATTCGGCTGCTGTGACTCAGAAGCCCGATCACCCGAAAGGTGGAATGGTTGATCTCCTTTGTCTTTGGGCTTGCGTTCATGTGGAGTGTGCCGTTTTTCGGAAGACCCCACTAAAATGGAGCTTTTCCTTTTGGTTTCCCCTTTAAAACCACGACAAGGGGTACAAAAACACACTCATCCTTTCGTGCGGAAAAAGAAGGATCAAACAAGGGATGAGCTTTAGACAAATGCGCTAGAGTCGCCCAAGACATTCCGTGCTTTCCATCTGAGATGACTTGCTGGTGGGCGTATTCTTTCGAGCCCCAGTCTGAGCAAAGCATAAAATTGAGATAAGCTAAGCTCCTTTTGGTGTTCCTTTCCCAACGGGCAGGCCCATTTGAGACAACTGAAACTGTCTCATATCTTCAAACCCCATCTTTAGTCCTACGCGAAAGCCAGACAAGGAAACTATTTTTCTACGGCTTGATTCCTTTTCCATGATTTTCAAGAATCGTTCCTTTCAAAAACCGGATCTGTTTCCCTGGGTTTTTGATGGCTTCCTGAAAAGATTCGGAGCCCCGGAAAGAATGGAGAAGGTCGCCCTAGAATCTTCCGGCTTCCCATTTGTTCCACGCCCTCACATCAAGCACCCGATTGGCTGACTTCTTGGAGCCTGCCACAGCAGCCAGCCCCCAAAACAGCCAAGGCCCAGCCAGTCTTGCGTAAAACTTGAAGTACTAAACACAAGGGCACATATGCTACTAAACTTACAACAATTCGAGGCGAAGTAGTTTTTTGGAGAAGAGAGCCAACCGAAGACGCTTCTCCTGCCATTGGATCCGGGTTTGATCATATAGGTTCCGTTTTCTGAGGAGAAAGGTACCTCTTGGGATGGCTTTGTAAGGACACGCATTTTGGATTTTGGTTTCCCTATGTTGAGACCAGCCCATTCTCCGCTAAAAGGGACAGTTTCCGGATCTGCAAGCGTCGCTTGGTCTTGGCTGCAACCCCAGGTTGAAAAGAAGAGCGCCCCTGCAGCACTAGGCGGGAGGGTGTCAAAACTATCCCACCTGGATGGTGGGCCCTTCCGTTGCTCTGAACTGCTGACTCCGGAAAAGAAAAACAACAACAAAAAAACAAGTCCATCGCGGCGTCCAGGGGAAAAACTTGGATGCTCAGTCTACTTGCTAAGGCTATAATCACTGTTATGCCTGACAGAAGTGGTTGGTTTTTATAAGCACGGATATCACCTACTTGCCTAAGGTCGAGATCCCAAAACCTTGGGCTTTTCTGAGGTGATTTTCCATGTACCAATCCAAACCACCAATTTGTGTAACTTGGTGTTCACTACTCACTTTCCCACCAAGCTTTTTGCCAAGAACCTTAGGAAGTAGAGTGCCATCCCTAATCCCAACCCATCCAGGGGTTTCGAACCCACATCCGTCTTGCAAGGAAAATCGATCGAAGACAAATTTTGCTTCACCGTGCTTCGAGATGCCGAGTGAGGGTGTCCAACCTCAGAGGTTGGTTGGAGAAAAGCGCAAAAACCCTCTGGGGTTCATAGAAAATATATTCAGATCCTATTTCATACTGTGGTTGACCAAAACCCATGTCGCACCACCGTTCAGAAAACCAGATTTCTGATCATTCCCCTGCAAATACCAACCAACAATGCTTTCAACTTTCAACCAGGGTTTCCACAAGTGG